AACTGATAATAAACCTAGAAAAACGTTTTGAAAAACTTTTTAGAGCGCATGTTCAAGTTCACCATGTGTAAAGAATGCAACGTGCGAGGGAGACTTTGAAGACGATCCCTTCCCGTATAGATGTGTATGTCCCGCGGGATTCACTGGTCAAGCTTGCCAAATTGACATTGATGAGTGCACGTCAAATGGAGCCTGTCACGTAAATGCGGAGTGTACAAACACCCCAGGCGGGTTTAATTGTACATGCAAACGAGGCTTCTTTGGTGACGGGAAGACCTGTCATGGTAAGTGTTAAGATTCCGCATTTATCAAATTCAGATACATTATTTTTAATGCAAGTTTGTCTTGTTAATCCAGGGCCATTGGTTTCACAACCTTTGGTCCCTTATTGTGCTAAATTGTGACACATGTACTTGATTTGCAGTTCTTCGATCATGCAAAGACATCAATGACCTTGGCCTGTCAAGTGGAGATGGAGAATATTTTATCTATCTTGGTGGTCAGCCGTTAAATGTATACTGTGACATGACAACTGACTCAGGTAATATCATCCAGTAAACAATTCTGATTTATACTGACATCAAGCAAGTAAGCAATGCCTGCACCAACGTACATGTGAAAAGAAAGCAGCTTAGCAGTAAGCCTAAGCAGAAAATTTTAATAAATATTGGGATTTTAATGTTTAGATTCGTACCTCAATTAAGTTCATCACAATTTGGACGTTGCTTTGTTGTTTTCATTTCTGATAATATCTAGCGAAAGAACGGAGAGTGAAATGGCGGTAGGAAGCCTATTGATTTTGGGACAGAAAAACAACAACAACAATAAACGAGCAAAAGTAAAAACGTGTATTTCTTTCTCTGGTATTTTCATGAATGTAGGAGAGTGAAAGATGGGTTAGCAGACATACATTCACACTCGATAGCTCTGACCGGCTTTGACCAACTTTCTTTCAACCGAGTAAACGTCTTTTGATCTGATGCGGAGCAGAGTTACGAAGGAGTAAATTAATTGGGTTAGCGCTGCCTAACAATCACAATTTTGAATAATAATTTTATAAAGTGTAATTCTCTTTCTCAGGGGGCTGGACACTTATCAAACAAGTAAAGTTAAATTCGACGAGCCCACATCAATACGGACGCTTTATCTCTAACGAATATCAAGCAATTTCAAACTCAAGAGACATCAGACAGATGATTGCAACTACAGCCCTACAACAGTTAAGATTGCTGATAGGTTTCCATCAAATACGCTTTCGATGCAACAAGTACAGCACTGGACGAACCTTTCATATCATGACTACTAACGACACCGCTGGCCACAAAGTATTGGATCACTTRCTTATTACAGCAACGTGGCCGACTGCTTGTGGCTCTTTCATGAGACTTCCTGACGACACTTCGATTCTCTCTCGTAATTGCGATAAATGGGGGAACTTTGGTGGTAATCGGTGGGGAATGGCAATAAATGTTGGTGATTTGAGGATTTATAATTTTCCAGTTATTTGGCAAAGTAAACATGAAATCAGACTTTATACTGGATATCCTTACCTCTGTGACGATATCAATGGTGCTTTAACTGCAGGGGATATCTGGGAAATTTATTTCCGTTAAGGAGACTTGCAATAAGAAATAATAATAATAGTAATATCGTGTAAAATAGTGACATCAAGCAGGCAGAATTACATGTCAATTACKATGAAAATGTTACTCAAGAATAAAAATTACAGTGAAATAACTTATATACATTATTGCTTAACGCTCAAGAGCGTGACTGATAAAATAAAGTTAGTTCTATATTTAGGAAAGTGAAAGAACCATAATCTTGAACAAAAATACTTCTGGACGATTTCTCGCTATAGGGCTGTACAAATACTTTATCGCGTGCATCTACCGAAAATATCAACGCCCAACGTCCCCTCCCTCACCCATTAATCTTGCAAGYACAGGTTAATCAATGGACAGCAAATGGAAAGAAAGCCACACAACAATGTTTTCGGGGAAAGGAATGTTTTATCGACATGGTGTCGTGCGCACGTACAAATTGTCAACATTTATGTCCAATTAGCAGGTCAGCCCCAAAACGAAATGATTATTCACATAGGTATTCCGGCCCTCATCTGATATATTCTCGCCCTTGCCTAACCTGAATTTCATGGTTTTCTTGCCTTTCCCTGAACCAGCATTTCATACTAATATTTACTCGGTTTCATCAAGACCAGCATTCCTTTCAGCTTCAATTGGACAATTATATCATGATTTCCTCACCATCGCCTGGGCTGGCATGTYAAAAGTTTGCTGCCAGTAAATCTTCACGACCTTCCCTGGGCCTGTATTCGATCATGCTTGATGTATATTGCATCTACTAGGTCAACTCCTAAARAGCGTTCCTGTTAAAGTCCGTGACGTGGCTGGTACTCGTCATCACATCGACGTAAATGCGTTCCTTGGCGTTACATTGGCAAAATTCCATTGAATTTTCTCTTGAATTTCTCATGGATACGACACTGGTGAAAAACGTACTGCGCATGTCTACAGCTTTCCCGCTGAAATCTCCCTAATTTTTTTGTAAAGCGGTTTTTGTGAAAGTTTTTTTACAATTTATAAGCTCGTTCACTGATATATAAGATTCATATTTCCATCAAT